GTGAGAGAAGGAAGACAGGATAAAGACATGCTGTGGAAGAGAGACAGAGGTTAATAACATATGATTCAATGCAGAGAGGTCTGTTAACACATAGTGAGTGAGAAAGGTGACTCAGAGACACTCAACCTATTATAAGCAATCATTTCAGCATGTGCACCCTCTAAAGCTTTTGATGACTCCTGGTATCAATCGCAGGACTCGTTGAAGGACCACACGCCCTGTGGATGAAATGATTATGTCTAATTCTGTTCCACACCACTGTGTGATCTAAAACTGATGGGCTCAAATGTTTTTCTTCTCTGAGGATCAATGAGTGGTGCTCATCTAGGCTTCTGAAGAGAAAACCACTAATCTAGCAAGCTACTGTTACCTATGGGCAACATGTTTGTAGGCTTCCAGTAAAGCTGCAAATATGTGGATGAAGAGCCGACGTCAGGCCCAGAGTTCCTGTTCGATGTTAGTCACCATTTACAGTCTCACTATGAATATGGAAAAAAGAAGATACATTTTTCAGATGGTGATTTACTTGGAAGCAGCCTCATCCTACAGTGACCGGTCGTTACTATTTGCCAACAAACTGACACCAAAGAGATTTCCGGCACATATGTATGCAGAAGTGAAACGAAAACGGTAATTAGTGAAACATACTGGCATACATATACTAACTTTTATTATGGATTAGTAACCCACTGGTCTCAAGCCCAGTGTACTGTATTTACCAACCATCGAAAGAAACAGTATTTACTGAAAGCCTGTTTCCATCCACACACAAGCAGAGAAGGGACAGGCCTCCATTTCACCCAAACAATTGATCAATGACGTCAGCACACTTCTCGGCTTCTGTCAGTGGGGTGAGCTGAGATTGAACTCGGGAAAGTGTTGATGCTGACACGAAGGCTCCGAAAAGCTCCTGAGAGCAGCGCTGGCATGAGGAACGCGGAACAATGTGCCTCTTCAGCACTTTCTGCCTGGACTCCTTTTTCTGTTTGTCGGAACACGTGGAGCTTAGAACCACAATGCCACAGATCATGTGTGCTTGCGAAGATGACTCACCCGCTCTGCAAATACAGACATTTATTCATTTTCAAATAAATCAAATCAAACTGTGTGAATATTTTAAAGTCGGTAACCTTTATGGGAGACGCGGTCTCCCATAAAGGTTACGGTCTGGACTGTGGGCCGGTCGCTAGTCTATAACTGGACAACCAATCGCAGTCAAGTTCACACCTACAGGAATGACCGAGTAACCACATCTATGGCTGCGGGAGGAAGCTGGAGCATCAGGAAACTGCACAAAAGCCCGGATGATGGATTCGCACTCAGACACGTGTATAAGTTACACGTTAACGTCAAAGCTACTTCTGGGTTATCAGTGTTATTCGTAACTTACGGTTAAACTACAAACACGGTCTTCCTCGCGAGTTAACTGAGCGCTAACGTTACATTTAACGGTGAACGACAAAGTGTGCCATCTTCAAATAGACCAGCTTCGGCATCGCTGACGTCGACGTCATCAAACCCCCTGTTGTGCTTTACGCTACAAGCAAGCGTGAGTGCAACAAGGAGGGCAGCCCGAGGGCAACTTTTCCGGTGAAACGTCACAAAAATAGCCTTTGGTGTTGCTCGAAAATGCGGCAGATAACGACGGAAAGAGCCGAACAAGATTATCAGCGGACGTCGAAAGAAAACGACACCGGTGAGACGACCGTAACCGGCATGGAAGGACAGGCCGTCCCCGATCCTAAACAGGAACCGGGCGACAACAACGACAGCAGGAAAGCGGAGACCAGCGGAGTGAGTGGCCGCGATGCGGCGGAGGAGCACGGAGACGCCCCGTCCCCCGTCCCCGACCAAGAAACCGCTCCGCGTACCGAAAAGTCGGCTGTTGGCGAAAGGGCCCCGAACCTCGAACTGTGTGAAGCCGCGAAAAGTCCCGCACAGGGCAGCTTGGCAAGTAGCACCGATTTCGCACAAGAGGGCTCCCGGGTGCTGAAACAAGAACAAAGAGAGGGGGGGAACGCGTCCGCCTCACCGCCTGCTGACCACACAAAGACCGCGGACAAGCCTGAGCACGGCATCAAGAGACGGGCCAGCACGGAGCTCACCTCGTCGGACGGAGAGCCGCTCAGCCGGATGGATTCAGAAGACAGGTTTGTTGGACTGAGCGGTGGCCTTATCTTACAGCACCATGCCAAGTTCACAGCTTTGAAGCAGTTTGTTTACAGGTGAAAATGTTCGCTTCCGCCGGGTCATGTAGTTCTTGAACGTCTCTATAGGACACGCTGGTCTGTATTTAGTCCACTGAAGCGTGTAGTGTGGGGGGAGTGTTGGCTCACAGCAATGCTCGTTACACAAATATGATGTAGTCTCATGCTAATACTAAAGTACAGCTGACCTACATGTCTTTGTTCACCCCCCGGGGGGGACCATACCCTCACACGTGCCATCTACCTATGTGATCAATAAACCAGGATAAATTAGCCAAATAGGAGCAGATGTTTCATGAAGGTCACAGTCTGGGATCATTCTCGGTTGATAAGTCTTCTTTCTTTCTTGGATTTGTGAAATAAGCGTTTTATAAGCAGATGGACAGAAAACTCGCACACACTGGTTGTTGCAGATTTTTGGCATACAAGGATGCTTTCATGGAAACTTCTTGCAGCTGTTTTGTAAAAGCCTTCCAGAAGTAGTAACTGAGTATGGATGTATAACCAAGAGGCAGCTGCAGACAGTCGTTGTTTGTCGTGTAGGATTTGTGAGTCATTTTCTACATGTGGGTTTTTGTTGTTCTTTGTTAGTTGGGTTCTTGCTAATCATACATCCATTCTCTGTAAACTATACAGTTTCTTCCTTGTTGTGTCGAAAATATGATGACCACAACTGTAAAGCATGGAGAGTGAGGACCTTTTATAATGCTGAACTTTTTGGATGTGTAGGCTCTCACCACAAACGATTGTTGATAGCATGCTGGGGAACTTGAGTGTCGCTAGCTCCTAAAAATAAGATGCCCACTCTGTTTGCATGAATCAGCCTCCCTCCCAACAACACTCTCAATCAGCTTCTCTCTGCATCGTGTTGTTTTACTTTGGAACATGTCATTTCCTGTCAGCTCGGTTCTCTTCAGTTTTTATAAAGGCATAAACACAGATGACATCAGGTCTGAAAGTGGGACTGCCAACCGCCCTGTGGTTAGTGTTAGCAGTGAAACGTATGGAGGCAGTAAGAGACAGGTCTGCAGGGTTAGCCCGGGGTAAATGCGTCTCACGTGAAGTCTTTATTTGTGTGACACATTTTGACTAAAGTGGAAAAATAGACACCACCAACAGTTTTACACCAGCGGGTCCAATCAGTGGACAACACTCACGCAAAGAAGATGATGTCATTCATAATTTCCAAAAAACAAAACCCCAAACTGGCTGCTTTATGATGAAGCCCAGGTTATAGTGGTTGGTTTTACTGGTTAACTGAAGTTACTCTGTCAACTGTTCATCCACCAAACCGAGGTGACTGGTTTCCATCTGTCTTTGTCATGAGGGTCGAGGTTTAAAGAGCTTCGGCAGTTTGAGTTTAGACCTCGGTCTGTTTGTTTTATCAAATACTCGCTGAAAAGTCTACAGTTGTAAAATGGAGTTATCAGCAGGCTGATGTTATCTGACGGTGTTAGCTATGAGTATCAGCATTTCTAACAGCTGATCAATGGAAATGAAAAACTGAAGAAATGTCAGACAAACCTGTTTGTTTCGCTGGAATAAAAAAGCTCCCTGTAGAGGTTTTACAGCTCGAGCTGTCGGCCACACTGCGCCTGATAATCACTCATACGTACTTTCACATGGAAATGATCACTGTTTTCTTCTTCCCCTCACAGTGCTGATATTCCGCTGCACATTGTTGTCCAACAATAATCAGCGACAGACGTTTTTTTCCCCATTTTCTTCTTTCTGAAATAGGAAAAATGATCAGTTACGGGCATCAAATCAATACTGTAATTATTAGAAGTTACCGTGGTTTTCAAACATTCAGGTATCTGTTTCAAAGAAGATGTGACCATTTGAGCATTTTACATTTATCATCTTCATCTGCCTCCTCCAGCACTGCTCCCTCCGTCTCCTCTTCATCCTCTTCCTCCTCACCTAAACCCTCACTCCTGAGCTCTAGTTTGGCTTCTACCAAAGGAAAGTCTACATGAACGTATTTAATCTCGATATTGTTGTGATTGGTTATTTTCAGCAGACGTGCGACCCTCCCGTCTCTGGAAAGCTGACAAGAGAAGGCTAAACAACAACATAACGATCCAAGCTACCACACGTCTTAAACGTTTAAGCTCATTTCTCTCTGATCAACAGTTTGATTTAAGTTTATTTGCTATGTGCGAGTCAGCCCACGTGAATATCAGCGAACAGCAGCGCCTGCTGACACAAACCCCAAACGTCCTCACCGGTGTTAATCAGAAGCTACGCCGACTCAGTGACGGAGCGTAATAAAAATCAGGTGCTGAGCAGTGACCGTGGTCCTCCACGGACTTACAGTCACATCCTGACACAAAGTGCTGATGAGCATTCAAACCTTTAGGCTTCACATCTCGTCCAGTGTCATTTGAGGGGTTGTTGATAACATACTGATATAAATCGTGTGCCGTGAAGTCGGGAGAAGGATGGCGTTACACTTCACAGCATCAGCAAGCACACTCGGAGGCCCAGTTAATCCACAAGTCATATTCATAGATCTTAGGGGTATTTACTTTGGCAGTTATTCTGAAGCATTATCCAAGTTATCTTTCATTTCTGCGATCAGCACGAAGGAAAACTGGTTTGTAAAATCATTTAAATGTAGTAAAACTGAGGAACTGTCCTCTAACATGACACAGCCAGGATCACCATCTCAGCCAGTGTTGAATCCCCCGCAGGCATCCTGCCATGGCTCTATTTCTGTATTGATGATGATCTGTGGTTACCTGTGAATTTTTAAGACTTGCGGTCTTCCTCACCTGAAGTAGTCCTTGTGAGAGCCAGGCCGTGCTCCAGTTAGCCAGTTTTTCACTGCACAGTGTGTCTTTATACTGTTTGAGGTCGTGACCTGTGACAGAAAGTAGCAACCAGACCCGTACACGATCAACTGTCACAAAAACAGCTGCCTGAAGGCGCTCAGTCATGAACCTCGTGGACTGGAGCCTGAACAGAGATTGAAAATGTGACGTCATTCAGGGGTAAAACCGCAAAGGATTCTGGGAACTCGTGGCAAGACGTACTAGCGCACGAAGGCTTTCAATTGAAATCAGT